AAAGCCACCAGCCTCATGGCTGAGATACCATGGTGATGGGATCACCACTGGCATGAACTCAACTAAAATAGATCTACTCACTAGGGGGATGCTGTCACACTCATGTCACATGAAAAAATCCAGTTACCCTCTGGTTATGTCAAAATAACTATGGGAAATCACCATTTTTAATGGGGAAATCCACTATATATGGTCATTTTCCATAGTTATGTTAGTTTACCAGAGGGTAAATTTCCAAAACATGTCCCCTATGTCCATGCAAAGACGGCTCTCCCATGGGAACAATGTGTTTCCCAGCCATGGATTTGTCGGAAAATAAACTACCCCTCCCATGTTGCTGGTTCTCACGTTCCCATTTTGCTTCACATTTCCATACCTTGGAGGTACCACACATCCCATTTTCAGACACACAAAAAAAACACCCCATGTTGTTGGTTGGCCATTATTCCTATATAGTTTAGTTGGTTCATTCCCTATGGATTTTTGTGAAAGAAATCTCTGTTGTTTGGGAACAAGTCCACACCTGTTGTTGGTGAAATCTCAGGTCTGGAATGTCGGTTAAATGGTTGGTGAAATCGAAGGGTTTAATCTCCATTGTTTAACTTAAGGTCAAATCCATTTTTAAATCTTGGAAAAAATGTTGCTTAAATCAAGTTACCCTCTGGTAAACTAACATAGCTATGGAAAATCACCATTTTAAATTTTTCATGGGATAACTCACCATAACTGGCCATTTTCAATAGCTATGTTAAATTACTAGAGGGTAAATCCCAATGTTTCCAGCGGTATATCCTGGGAGCACCCGCCGAGAGCTCCTGAGCTGCAACTGGCCCTGCCAGTCACTTCGTACCCTGGCAGGCATGCAGGCCTCGTGGGCTCAAAGCCGTGGCGCAAACTCTTTGGTGATATCTTTATAGGGGGATATACATATACATATATGTATGAATATATGTGGGAGTTTCATGAATATATGTGGTATAAATGTATATAACTAAAAATTAAGCACGAGATATCCAATTTCAGTGTGGGATAATGGGTGATATCTCTGTATATGATATAATCAACATCAGGATATTATATCTGGGTAAATTATAATAATTCACTAACCTGAATTAAGGCCATTTGGGGATGATTCCCCTTACTAACCATGATTTCCAGTGAGGTCGCAGTGAGGTCGTTATAATTTACCCAGATTATATGTAATCCACCATCATCGGTCAGATTAGGCTTTACAGTAGATACTTCCCAGCAAAGATGGCAAGACATCCCCAGTGGCAGGGAGTGGCAAAATCCATCGGTAATGAATCAGTCATATCCGATAAGCATTGGTTCTACAAGTAAGTTCATCTAAATTCAACAGCGTGATATGGTTACACATATGATTGCACTTTGGACGATTATCTATTATATAAGACAAACCCTATCTACCGTTTTCAGAACCTCACCACGGACATTGTGTGTGCGGTCAACGGATTGGGGCACCCTGCAGACAAGTGGAACCAGAAGACAAGGTCTGGCGAATGTGAGGTGGCGACATGTCCAATCAACCACTGCTTTAGGCTCGTGGATCTGCTCGGACCATCCATTATGATCAAGAATTTGATCCACAACTGCTTAAAGGGGACACATGTTCTCCCAAAAAAAATTAGAGAAAACACACACATTTTTTCATAGATTTGGACACCCATTCTGCGGCCCGGCCATCGGAGTACACAACTCCCATAAATTTGGACACCCCAACCCCCAACCCTTTTCAGCACCTGCGGACAATCTCCTAAGTTGCCATGCTCCGGGGCCATCATGGTGCAATCCTGCGGACTCCATGGTGACATGGAAAACGGTTTTCCACATCAGACACAACTGGAGCTTTCCGTTTTGTCATGGGGGTACCCTCTGGTAAACTAACATAACTATGGAAAATCACCATTTTTTTAATGGGAAAACTCACTATAAATGGCCATTTTCAATAGCTATGTTAAATTACCAGGGGGTACCCCACATCCAAGTCATGGATGGCCATGACTTAGTAACTTAGTATTGACACCTATGGTTTTGGGGAACCTCCATTTGAAGAAACCCCCCAATGGTACCAAATAGTATCTAAAATAGATGAAGTGGCATACGATACTACAATAGTCATCGAACGGGTTTCAGGACAAAACATAAGAAAATAACCCCATTTTTGATGTGCAAACCATGGTGGGATTAGTGTATATAGACGTTCGCTTGAACTAGTCCATTGACTGTTGGTTTACATTCATGTCGCCCTGATGTATATAATCCTGATATCCCATTGAAGCCCCACTATATCCGAATGTTGGGTATAATCATGTATAATCAATCTAAGAAGGTGTGAATATGTGTGTCAATTAGTATCATTATAATCCTCAACAAAACAACATGTCTTTGACGCAAAAGACGTGCCGAGGATCCCAGAAAATGTCAGAGGGAAGTTCGGATCACTAAAAAACAAAATTGCAGGGTTGGGTTTTACAAAAACACAGAACGTATAACCATTACACTTGCAAGAACATATCCTATACTATACATAATCATATAATATATATATATGGCTGTGAGTCAAAACCCCCGGTCCCCGGTGGATATGCGGCAGCCTTCTGTTCAATAGGGTATTGAACGGGGGTATTGAACGGGAGGTATTGAACGGGGGGATAACGGGGGGTATTGAACGGAGGGCATTTCCTAAACAAACATCCCACCGACTTTGGAGGCATAGCTGGGCAACGGAGCTGGAAAGCCCATAGTGAGGTATTGAACGGGTATTGAACGGGGCATTGAACGAACTACCTCAAAAAACCGGTAGCCGAACCAGTCATCAAGTTCTCTGCCACGCGGGAAATCACTACGAGTACAAAGGAAAACGAGAAATACACCAGTTGGAATCACCCAAGCTCCCAAGACCCAGGGTGCTGTGCAGGGTGCTGTCCGGACTGCGGTGGCGAAGTCTGGCAAAGGTGCTGTGCAGGGTGCTGTCCAGACTGCGGTGGCGAAGTCTGGCAAAGGTGCTGTCCAGACCGCGGTGGCGAAGTCTGGCAAAGGTGCTGTGCAGGGTGCTGTGCAGGGTGCTATCCACACTGCGGTGGCGAAGTCTGGTGCTGTGCAGGGTGCTGTGCAGGGTGCTGTGCAGGGTGCTGTCCAGACTGCGGTGGCGAAGTCTGGCCAAGGTGCTGTGCAGGGTGCTGTGCAAAAAGTACCTAGAATTGAAGCAGGATATTTATTGAACAAGGGTATTGAACAAGGGTATTGAACGGGGTATTGAACGGGGGGTATTGAACGATGGAGACCCTTCTGTTTAATAGGGTATTGAACGGGGTATTGAACGGGATATCCACGAGTACCTGTTCAATACCAAAACGTTTTGACTCGCAGCCATATGTGTGTGTCTTACATCATATTCCCTGCAAATGTCTAAGGATGTCTAAGGATTTGGCGGTTTCAACACATCCAAAGCCACAGCCTGCGCCGATGCGATCTCCAGGTGTTGCAATGCCATGACTGGCGAAAGCTTCAAGCTCTGAGCTGGAGATATACTGCTGGACTGCTGTCGACCATGACCAACAAAAGACATACTATAGATATCTGTAGATTACATAATGGGGGTTTAATGGTGATACAATGGTGAACTAATAGGATTTAATGGTGATATCATGGGGATTTGATGGTGATTTAATACAAATCAATGGGATTCCATAAAGCAACTTGATTTGTCCATTGACTGTTGGCTTTGTCCACCAATGGGGTAACTATAAACCCCAAATTGACAGAACATGATCATTTCCATGGGCAAAATTGATGATAATCCATGATCACCCAGTGGTTCCGTGGGGGTTACCCGCGGTTCCCCGGTCAGGTCCAAAGCCATTCAGCCCTGCCTGCAACTGCCATGCGAGGGCACAAGCTACCCATGGGATCCCATTTTTTCGGTGAACTCCCCCAAAGGCAAGCCACCTGAAAAGCCTGAAGAGCTGGCTAATTATGGTTGCAGCTCTAAGCTGTGTACTTTCTCAGACTCTCACGACCAAACAAACCATCGGAGCTGTGTCTTTCTATCGCGAGAAAAGAGACGAAAAGCCCATGGCAAGAAAAATGCTGAAGAAGTGCACCCGAGTGGGGTGAGTCAAGGCTAGGGTGGCTTGGATTTTGCTGCTGTTGTATGGTATGTGTTTCTCAGCTAAATGGCCATTCACGGAATTCACATACTGTGAGTTGCTCGGTTGCAAACCCTGAAATTTTCCAGACCCTTGCGACAAAATGGGTATGGATCAATACCTATGAAAATACAATTTTTAATGGGATGAACATCCATAAATCCCAGCTATTTTGGGGTTCACTAGGTACCAGGGTTTTGACCCATCCCCAAATCATCGTGTCATACAAGCGCCACTCTGCTGCCGCAGTTTTCGAAATGGGGTCCCGGTCGCAACGCGAAAACCGCGAAACCGTTTTCGAGTGCCAGTTTTGGCACCAGGGTGAAACGTGGGGACCTACCTTGGACAACCATCCCAATTGGGAAGTAAAAGTGATGGTCAACTCATGAAAAAATTCAGCCTGGTTGATGAGTCCAATAAACTAAAAATAAACTATTTCTAGCGGAATCATGACCGATGTCTCCACATCTTTTTTCGCTGCTTTGCAATCAAAGTAGGCTACCACTTTCCGACTGGGACCAATCCGATCAGCGATTTCTGAGACAGCAAATATTTGGGCAACACTCAGTGTTGATATGTATGTAACCATTCTCTATATCTACATTCAAATACATAATATTGTGTATATATATATTTATATTTATATTTATATTTATACATGTTTGCATTTGCATGTGTTAGTATATGATATCTAAATGTATAATTATGTATGTATTATATGCATGTAATATATGCAATATGTCCTTGTCCAACAAACCCAAACAAGGGTCCTGCACAAAAAAATCGTACAGATTTGGTCCTGCACAAAGTGGAAAGGTATCTTCTCGCCTTTCAGCGCTTCTTTGGCACTGGATTGGACCTTGGCATGATCCAACTCTGTATATTTTCACCTTTGTCCAGTTCTATGATTACAACTCTGCTTCAGATTTCTTCTTGCCAAAGGTAGAATTTCAGATTTGCTTTGAACCAAATTGGGAATGTCAGATTTCTTTGCCAAATGTGGTGTTTTTCTTCCATCAAAAATTGTTTGCTTTATTGTGATTGTTTAGACCCAGATATAAATATCACTAATTAGTGGGTAAAACATGGCAAAACAATGCCATAGACTATCCATAGACTATCCCCCAGTCATCACCATTTTTAGAGGTGCTATGTAAAAACCATTCCCAGTCATGAATTCTCCCACTGAAAACGACGACAAAACGTTTCTGGGACCTGCACGTGGGCGCGCCGCCGGTCCGCGTGCGCTTCCTCTTAGGCCATCGGTTGATGTCAATGGCGATTTCACGGAGATTTTTATTGGGATTTTAGAGATTTTATTGGGATAACATATATATGTATAGCATATATCTCTATCAATAAAAGGGTTTTTTCATGGAGTGTATAATAGGTGTATATATATAGATATTATAAATATAACCCCCAGAAAGGGATTTAGAAACGTCAAATTTTACTAAAATAGTGATACATAGTGATAATCCCTTCTCCTATTACTAAACCTCCCGTAAATAAAAAAAACTACCCCAGATTATTTGTTGTGGGAAATTTCAGATTGGTTACTTGGACTTACCCCCTTAATAATAAAAATTAGTTAGCCCTGGGGTGTTTCTTTATCAGTGTCCGTCTTGTAAGGTCGACGAAAAAACAATAGAATTTATATCAATGTGTTTAATTTAATATTACGGGAAAACTTCGAAATCCAATTTTTGGCAATATTCTAATTAGATTTTAAAAGGGAATTTAATTGATGTTGAAACCGAACATTTTAGTTTTTTATTAAGGTTTTCAGACGGTTTTCAATTTAATATTAGGGGAAAGCTTCGAAATCCAATTTTTGGCAATATTTTAATCCTATTTTAAAAGGGAAATTAACTGATTTTGAAATCATTTTTAACATTTTTTAATTAAGGTTTTTATTTTAATATTAGGGTTTTTATTTTAATATTAGGAGCCAATTTCTCCCCGAATATTAAATAACCCCTAATAGTAAAAACTACCCGTCGGTTTTATAATTTGGGAGGGGGGACGTTTAATATTAGGGTGAAGGGATTACTATTAATACAAATTATATGGTGTATTTACTTCACGTCATATCTCTACCGTTGTTACTGACGTCACATTTCTATCTTTGTTGGTTGCTACTGGAATGATAATTGAATGATAATTGAATGATACATATATCCACATATGATTACATATGATAACTATAATTATTTGGCAGAATCCAATGATTTGTTGAAACCATCCAATTCTTAAAGGACTCTCTGTCAATGTTCCCTTTGACCCTTAAGCTTGGGAGGAATGGGGCCCACAGGAGATCTTGTGCATCCGAAAAAGGACCTGAGCCCATAGATTTCCCATAGAAAGAGACCATTGAGTTGTTGGGTTTGGAACCTGCTAAACATTGGAAATACCCAGCGTTGATAGTTTGAATCGTAGTTTAACAGTCTTTAAAATATATAATATGTGTATACATATACATATACATATACATATACATATACATATTGTGAAGCTTCCTCAGTTTGACTAAGGTCCCCTGTTCCAGTCACAGCATGGATGCACATCCAGCGGCCGTTGTGACATGTGGGCTCACCAAGGGGTGATAGAGTGTCTTTTAATTCGTGAGAGACTTCGAGCAAATTGTGCAGTCAGATGGGTCACGTCCAATGCCCAGTTGGCTGATTGTCTGACAAAAAGCATGGATAGTTCCAGCCTTACATATTGTTTGAGGAGCGGAAGGTATTGTCTGTTTGATGAAAATCGTGTTTTACAAGAAAGGTCAGACAAAAGACAAAGGGCCAAATGGATGAAGGAAGCAACCACCTCTATCGAGACATCTTCACCAGAAGATGCACACTTTAATTTTGGTGTAGAAGATACTTGGGAAAAGAATGATAAGGGTCAGGTTGTCCGGCCTCGACGGACTCGCTTTTCTCCTATTGGGGTTCCTGGATGCCCTGTGGATATCCGCAATCTTGGGGTGGAGAGAGCTACTTTTGCAAAGTTTTCTTCCGGCGAGACATGGTCTGAAAAGGACTTTTGGCCAGGGACCCGAGGCTATACAGCCCTGGATCAACCATGGACTGGAAAAACAATTTTTGAAGTTCAGGGTATGTGAAACTTCCTCAGTTTGACTAAGGTCCCCTGTTCCAGTCACAGCATGGATGCACATCCAGCGGCCGTTGTGACATGTGGGCTCACCAAGGGGTGGGCAGCGGTGAGGGATTTGAGCCATAGAGGAAAAGGCATTGGGTGCCTGTTCGGTGTCTTGGCTGGCGAGGCGGCCATTAACAACATATACATATACATATACATATACATACACATATACATATACACATACACATATACATATACACATATACATATATACATATATACATATACATTTACATACACATAAACATTATATATATATATGTATATGTATATGTGACGTATACACACTGCTGGCTAGCTCAGGGCCAAGCTGAGCTGAGTCGTCTTCCTCTGCAGGTCCTCAGTGTCGCTGGGTTCATCTGCCACAACCTACAAGATGAAACTGTCCTAAGGCATGAAAATATGCCCAAGTCACCATGGGTTTCAATACTAAACCCATCTAATGACTGGGATGATTTGGGGGTGGCACTCATAAATCAGTGGTTTATCATCATTTTTCCGACTACAGTAGTACCCCCATTTTCAAACACACCCAAATATACTGCAACAAGTGCAAGACCCTGAAAAATCAAAACATTGCGGGTCAAAATTTGAGTACATCCCAATCGACGCACCAAATTGGTAATTCTTGGATTTCTCAGTATTACACCAGCCGTCTTGGGGGTTGATCAATTTGATCCGGCCAATACCCATTTTGCAGCAGTTCTAAGGTGTTCACTGTTTCGAGGACTGGTAAGCTCTTCCGTCTTTATCTTGACTGTGCAAGGCCGACAATTTGGGACAGCGAGGCGGTTATTGCTGGGCGAGAACTTTCCCAACACTCATGATTGTTTTTGTTTTGCCACGTGCATGTCAACGCTGCAAATCTCATATGAATCACGCAAAGCGCTCCCCGTGTGTGTTTGAGGAATACACTGTGTATCTATATGTATTACAAATAATATACATTTAACTTTACCAAATCAATGCGTGTGTGGTAGCACTCAGTTTCAAACAAAACAGACTGCCAAACGCCGGACAAAGTGTCACAGAAGGAAAAACACCATGTGGTTCCCCACCAGGATTCTTGCCACGCGCAGGATCACAACACTTTGGGAGACTCTAGGATTGGTGTAAGATAAGCATATGCCAGTAGTACCGCACAAGGCGGTGGCGGAAGTTTCCAAAATAGGCAACCTATAGGAGAGTTTGGTTGTTGTGAATCACAGATGGCAGAGCGAGTCCACTGATGGACCGAATAGTGGTTGGAGTTGTTTTTTTTTGAATGGTTACAATGGTTGCAGTGGTCACCTGGTCGGTCACCTCACCCACAACTGCTGGATGTAGTGTGGTGTAGCGCAGCTGTAGGTGTAGCGTAGTGGAGTTGTAGTTGTGGTGTAGTGTAATTAGTGTAGTGCAGCTGCAATTGCGTTTGTGGTGGTGTAATGAGTCTAGTGTAACGTAATGTAGGGGAGTGTAATTGCGTGTAGTCTAGTGTAGTGTAGTGTAAAGTAGCGTAGGTTGTAGTTAGTGTAGTGTAGTGTAGTGTAGTGTGGTGTGGGGTGGTGTGGTGTGGTGTGGCGTGGGGTGGTGTGGTGTGGTGTGGTGTGGTGTGGTGTAGTGTGGCGCAGTGCGGTGTAGTGTAGAGTAGCGTAGTGTAGTCTAATGTAATTAGTGTAGTGTAGTGTGGTCTGGTGTGGTGTAGTGTGGTGCCGCGCAGTCTAGTGAAGTGTAATGTAATTAGTGTGGCGTAGTGTCATGCAGTGTAGCGTAATGTTATGCAGTTGTAGCTGTAGCTGTAGTTGTAGTTGTAGCTGTAGTTAGTGTAGTGTAGTGTAGTGCAGTGCAGCGTAGTGTAATTGAATGTAGTGTAGTGTAGTGTAGTGTAGCGTAGTGTAGTGTAGTGTAGTGTGTTGGAGTGGAGTGGAGTGGAGTGGAGTGGAGTGGAGTGGAGTGGAGTGGAGTGGAGTGGAGTGGAGTGGAGTGGAGTGGAGTGGAGTGGAGTGGAGTGGAGTGGAGTGGAGTGGAGTGTAGTGTGGTGTGGTGTGGTGTAGTGTGGTGTAGCGTAGTGTAATGTAATTAGTGCAAGTGTAGTGTGGTGTAATGTACTGTAGTTGAAGCTGTAGCTGTAGCTGTAGTTGTATTGTAGCGTAGCGTAATGTAATGTAATTAATGTAGTGTAATTAATATAATTAGTGTAGTGTCGTGAAATGTAATGTAGTGTAGTTGTAGTGGTAGTTACAGTTTTAGTTGCAGTGCGGTGTAGTGTAGTGTAATTGAGTGTAGTGTAGTGAAGTGAAGTGGAGTGTAGTGTAGTGTAATTAGTGTAGTGTTGTGTAGTGCAATGTAGTAGCTGGTGTAGTAGCTGCTGTGGCTGTAGTTAGCGTAGTGTAGTTTACTGTAGTGTAGTGTAATTGAGTGTAGTGGGGTGTGGTGTAATGTAGTGTAATGTAATTAGTGTAGTGTCGTGTAATGTAGTGTAGTTGTAGTTGTAGTGGTAGTTGCAGTTGTAGCTGCAGTGCAATGTAGTGTAGTGTAACTGAGTGTAGTGTAGTGGTGCGTAGTTGAAACTGCTACAAAACCTTCACGTTTTGCTCACTTTTGGCAAGGTGCAGAATCCCTTGTGCCTGCCACGCAAAACGACATCCTTACGTCCAAAAATGCTCCGACCCCTCAGCTTTTCCACTTTTGACTTCGACATGTGCTTCGCGCCACAACGGCGTGCACTTTTTTGACATGCCAACTTCAAAAAGTGTTCCCAACCTGGTGTGGCTTGTACATTTTGACTTAGAAATGTGCTTTGCGCCACGACGGCGTGCACTTTTTCGACATCTCAACTTCCAAAAGTGGTCCGGGATCGTCAGTTTTTAACACTTTTGTCTTCGAAATGTGCTCCGCGCCACAACGGCGCCCACTTTCCCGACATCTCAACTTCTAAAAGTGCTCCGAAGCCGAGGTGCTTTGTACATTTTGACTTCGAAACGTGCTTCGCGCCACAACGGTGTGCAATTTTTCATCTCTCATCTGCCCAGATGGCTCCGCACCCGCCGCTTTAGCAAGCCTACTTTTCAACCTTCCTGAGCCACAAATGACAAATCACTGGAAAAACATAGCGAATCGACTCTCAATACCTTTTCGCGCACCTGCATCTTCTTTCTTCTCTCTCTTTCTCTTCTCTGGTCTTCTCTCTTCTTCTCTTCTCCTCTCTGACTCTTCCACCTCTGCTTTTCCATCTGTCCATATTGTCGGAAGTTTGACTTCTAAACTTCCTTATAGATGTGGAAAACCAATGCTTTCCCACCCAAAGATGCGACCAAAAAATGGTCACCTGGATTCACCTGGTCACCTGACTCACCCTCCATCCATCTTCTACGGGATCACCCAATCTGTTGGTTGGTTTCCCTTACTAGCGATCTTTGGTGTCACTGGCTATGGGGCAATTTTGCAAGAAGCCATGCTTTCCCCATGAAAACTGCTTTTTTTCCTGCAATTGTCCCCTCTAAATGGCACTTTCGGGATAGAAATCAGAATGGAAAGTACTTCTATTTTTGACTGGAAATGATATCCATCTTTTACCATCAAAATATGATGCCTCTAATCTCCGGCAATCAAACATGGCAATGGAATATCTGACTTTCCCACCAAAACCTCCATTTGAGTTGTGTTTTTTTTCCTTGCTAAACCGCAATACACAAATTGGGACACCCACGCGGGGCCTACGCAAACCACTCCTCCCATGCGAAACTGCCTACGCGAGGGTTACCTTTTAAGAAGTGCCTACGCGGTTGCCTCCGCGAAAGTTGCTGCAAAGGTTCAGAGGAGGAATACGAAGAATTGGAAGATGACGATTCTTTGGATGACTTGTGAAAGGAAGGCGGAAACCTCATCAAGCGTGGAGCACTTTGTCATGGAAGATAGTCAGATATTGTTGAGCTTGGAAAAACTTTGGATGGGCTACGGGGCCACAATTTGACCTGAGGGCCTACGCGTTTCCTACGCGAGGGCCTACGCGGAGCCTACGCGAAAGTCCGAACCGAAAATGGATTTCTGAAAACTTGGCACTGTCATTTTCTGAAAAAGCGTTTGTTTCTTTGATTTCCCTTTCTTCCAGCTATATGAATCATACAATCCAGTTTGCATGCAAAATCATTGTAACCCACCAAGAAAAAACAAGAGTCCGAGGTCAGAAACAAACAATCTAGAACACCTAAACAAGCGCCTACGCGAGACTGCCTACGCAGCCTATCCTACGTTATCCTACGCCATATGCCTACGCAGGACCTCCGCACCAAGCAGAACAGCCTACGCATGAATGATGTTAGTTCCTCCTCAATCTAAATTCCATCATCTGGAAAAAAAACGTGGCTCATTTATAGGGGATGTTCCATTGTGACCGGAGGGTAATCCCATCTTTGGGGTGGTTATCCTTTCCATCGATTTCTTTACCCAGTGAGGTCGGCCGAAGACCCAGCGACCCTGCCTGGCCCTGCGGCTGCGACATCATCTAACATACGCCCTGGTGGCAGCATTGGCATGTCCGAAGCAAAGAAACCCTCCAGTAAACATACCAAAAAATTGTGGCAAACTCATCATATGTCATGTGTAGATAATTTCCGTTAACCCTGGGTTTTCCACATCTGTGTTGGTTTACCCCAGGACTGATCGAATTTAGATCAAATCCCTCAATTAGATCCCAGTGTCATTCTAAATCGGTATCTTTGAGTAGTGTGGTACGAACACCTCATATTTCCTTCAGAGTCCTGGCAGAACACAGAGTTTCACCCAAATCTCCAAAAATTAAAACTACCAATACCTAACGAGTACTAGTAACTAAGGGTGCTTTCCAAAATCAAACACGAATTACCATCTGGTTATTTGACATAGCCATGGAAAATCACCATTTTTAATAGGTAAACCATCTATTTCAATGGGCCATTTTCCATGGCTATGTTAAATAACCAGAGGGTATATTTACAAGACGGTCTTGAAGAATCTGTTGGTCTTGGCTGATATTCCCTCTTTTTTTTGTGTGGATCATCTCCCCATGTTGCCAGGTGACGCATGAGGTGCAGAAACTCGATGAAGTCCAGCTGCCTCAGGGTGACCAAGCTGAAGATGTTCTGTTCAAAACAAATCTGATATATACACGTGATTCGTATAGTAAGTATATATATATATGATTATATATGATTATATATGATTATATATGATTATATATGATTATATATGATTATATATGATTATATATGATTATATATGATTATATATGATTATATATGATTATATATGATAGATAAGTATACATAATATAGTAGAATTATATCATATATAGAATTATATAGATACATTTAAATGGGATATCGTATCAACTTCAGGACAAAGTGTCAGAATCTACATAATGCTTCTCAAATATAGATGGGATGGAAAGTACCAGTAAATACAAAGTATAGAGTGACCGAGCATCGCAAAATTGAAGAGCATTAGTAAATAAATAAAACATAAGGACATACATATATATATATTATACATATGTATATATACAGAAACGACACGGACTTGGGGCGTTCCCTAGGAATTTATGAATCCACCCATCATGGGTCCCTTTACATGCACAACAAAAAGGGTGGTTGCCCTTGGACAATTGGGGATCTTTCAACACGGTTTGTGGCAGTGGTTTTCATTGGAGGGTTTTCCAAGTACCCAAAAAAAAGATTGAAGCGGATTTCCTATCTTTCAAGTTTCAACGACATGCTTTTTTTTCTGATGGGTGGTTTCAATCCATTGAAAACCATGACTATCATTTCTGCTAATCATCTCAAATATGGGTTTCCTAAACAACGAACCAATCAACCAGTTTTCCTCTATCCGGTTGTTTCGAGACCACCAACCAGCCATCCATGGGTGCCAGCGAGCTCAAACTAAGGCTCAGCACCCGTTTCCATCTGCATCCAATTCTGCAACCTCGCCGGGTGAGCCATGCCCCAAGATTCTACAAAGCCCTATGCAAAAAATGCTATGTCATGTTGTGGGTCAAAACCCTGGCACCCTAGGTACCCTAAAAATCCCTAAAATATTTGGTGAATGGATGTCTGTTCCCCCAAATATGGTACAATAATTTCAAGAGGTCTTGATCGAAAAAAGGCCAGTGGTGCAGCCGGATAGAGACGTGGTCCGGGTCCCCGGGTCTTCGCGCATGTCGGTGCAACTTGTTGGCGGAGATCTGCCATTCTGCGGGACCGGCGGAGTTCTCATCAGTTGATCCATGTTGATCCCGTCGAATCTATGAAGATTTTTGGGGATCCATAGCTGAAAATTGGGTGATAAGTACATATACCCTCTGGTAAACATACAAAAAGCTATTGAAAATGACCATAGAAATAGTGAGTTTTCCCATTAAAAATGGTGGATCTTTCCATAGCTATGTTAAATTACCAGAGGGTAAATACCATTGCCAATTGAATATATTGAATAAATATGTTTGATTGATGTAGATGGTGGCTGTGAAACATTGTGAAACATACCTGAAATTTGATGTTGATCATGGGGGTTCTCACCAGGAATCTAGCCGCAAAAGCATATATATATATACATATATATATACCATCTGGTTATTTAACATAGCCATGGAAAATGACCCATTTATAGATGGTTTACCTGGGTTTACCTAATAAAAATGGTGATTTTCCATGGCTATGTTAAATAACCAGAGGGTATATCACCCATAAGTCATGCGTGATATGAGATACTGTACTCCCTGATTGTTTCTACCACCTGCTCTATTCAATCCCTGAAGAATTGGAACCGCATCATGAAATAATCAACGTTACAAATTTCAGCTCCAGTTGTCGCAATTCTAGGAAACCCCAAACCCCAACAAACCAAACAACTTTTAGTCAGTCTGAACCATCCGAAAAGTCATTCATCATCATGAAACAAGAAAAACAATCTTTGACATATCATCATATTAAACATCATTCAACACTATATCAATCATTATGTCATCAACATATCAACATTCAACATTATATCATCATATTATCATCATTATATCATCATGTAAACCATCATTCAAACCATCATTAATTAAAGTGATGAAGAATATCATCAAACGTATTCAAACCATCCATCATATTACCCTCTGGTAATTTAACATAGCTATTGAAAATGGCCATAGAAATAGTGAGTTTTCCCATTAAAAATGGTGGATCTTTCCATAGTTATGTGGCTGTTTACCAGAGGGTAAACCAACATATATCATCATATAATCATTGTATCATTCAGACCGTCAGTTTTTTGCTCAGCCTCTAGGTCCCAGCGGACAAAAGAAAAAAACTCCATTGAGCTGAGCCCCAGACTCATCAGCGAAACGGCTTCGGCCACCTGGGAGTCGCTGAAGGATTCTCAGTGCTCTATGGATACATATATATATTATATATATACACTCTGTATATATATATATTATACTAGAATAGATGGTTAATGGATGGTTATTCCCCAACAAAAAAAACAATCCTGATGTTAGCAAAGCAATAGTAAGCCCCAATGACTTACTCATCAAATGGGTGGGATTGTTAGCATCAATCCATATGGGTGGTGAACATGACATTGCCATACCAACTAACATTATATAATATTATATATCCAATACCTTTACTTTACTATACCTTTAGATGTAGCTTATACCCTCTGGTAAACTAACATAGCCATGGTATAGCTGGCCCATTTATAGATGGTTTACCTATTAAAAATGTGATTTTCTAGTTCACTCTGTAAACGTGTACCAGAGGCTATATTTTACCTTTACATAATGTATAGCTTTACATATGAGCCATGGTCAATACTCACTATATGGTTGATGGTCATCCCATCCATAATAAGGATCCAATAATGATATGGTTATTATAAATCCCATTAAATCACCATTGGATGACTAGCCCCGTTTTTAATGGTTATTAACCATGAGTATTGACCATAGCTCATATCCCATGGATTTTAAGACAGCTCCGTGCCAGCTCCCAGCCTCCGCCACATCAATCAAACCATCCTCGGAGCTGTCCAGCGCCTGAAGGGCTCACAGACCAAGCTGTCCTATCTCATAAGGAAAAATGGGGGAAAAAAACCAGGAGAATTTTTTCGGAAATTGGATGTTTTATATGTTTTATATACCTCGAAAAAATTGGATTGGAGAAATCACCAACGAATGGATAGGGATGATGTCAATTTATATGGGGATGGGTCAAAACCCTGGTACCCCTGGTGAACCCCAAAATAGCTGGGTTAAAATGGATGTGAATAACCCACTAAAAATGTATCTATAGGTATTGACCAATACCCATATTTTTATATACCTCGAAGAAATTGGATTGGAACATTTCCCAGGAGAATGTCTACTGGAAAAGCATTGGGAAGAGTTGACGAGAAACATGGGGAAGAAAACACAGAAACTTCGGTATTTTTACCGCTAAATATGGAGGTTCGACATAGGGATTTGTTTACCCTCTGGTAAACTAAGATAGCTATGGAAAATCACCATTTAGAGTACGTAAATCAACCGTTAATGAGCCATTTTCAATAGCTATGTAACAAATTACCAGAGGGTAATTAGATCCTGAAATAAACCGAGAATTGGAGGCCAAGAAATCCAAATTCTCCAACTTGGTTTGTCGGGGTACAACCAACCTCTAAGGATCTAGTGGTTTTTACCATCACCATCATCACCATCATCATCATCCCCTTCACATGGCAATAAATTGGGACGTACTGGACAACCACTGTGGAGAAAGTCCACCCGGCGAACCTCAAAGGTGTGCCACAAGTCATGGGCTTGTTTCGTTGAGAAACCCAAAGCCTGCATCGGGGACTTTGCTGAAGTGGAATCCACTTTTGCTGACATGAATTGCCCTCTGGTAAACATACAAAAATCACTATTGAAAATGGCCCATGGGAATAGTTGAATTACCTAAAGATTGTGATTTTCCATAGCAAACTGCTAGTTTACCAGAGGGTATCATGGTATCATAAATTAAGGTGCTTTAATTCTGACCCAAAGTGATGATGAACCACTCACAGTGATAAGCGTTGATTCACTTCAGATCCCATGAAGGACAAACCATCAGGATTCTTGGTCGGCTGTAGGTAAACATCTTCAAATTCTGTGCGGATTCCGATGGAAGATCAAGTTGCCACTGGCAGATCGGCCGGACCCCAATGCTATCCTCAGCAGCTCAATGAATGGTTCGCTTCCGCTTGTGGCGGATTATGTCGCCGAGGGGACACATCATGAAACATCCCAATTGTTGAATGTACCCTCTGGTTATGTCAAAATAGCTATTGAAAATGACCATTAATAGTGGATTTTCCCATTAAAAATGGTGATTTTCAATAGCTATGTTAAATTACCAGAGGGTATACAAATAAACACACATCTAACGTAAATGGCCTCCGGCAATCGAATATGGCACTAGGAAGTCGCTAATGGAGGTTTTAGGGGAATATATGGGAATATCATCTATAAATTGTGGATATCCATTGTCATGTTGATTGTCGGGGGCACATGAATATATGTTTAATCCCATCTCCCTAATACAAAACACCCCCTAAATGGTCCAAAATACGTGTAAATCACCTACTAAACCGTGCTTTCTGGGGGGGGTTAGTAGTAGTAGTAGTAGTAGTAGTAGTAGCGGGAAATGATTCATCATGTGTACGTTATATGTAATGTCAACCCCGGATCAATAAACCATGGACCATGGTTCATTAGTTATGGGGGTACCCTCCAAATAGTGAGAATATGATACTTAAATATACTTAATTGGTACCCAGCCAATTAAACAGCCTAGTTGTTTTTATTTTTTAGGTTGACATTATACAATTTTTCCACATACCCTCTGGTAATTTAACGTAGCTATTGAAAATGACCATTTATAGTGGATTTTCCCATTAAAAATTGTGATTTTCAAATATTTTCAATAGCTATGTTAAATTACCAGAGGGTACATATCCGAAAAAATAGCTATGATGAATATGTTCAAACAGTCGCAGTTCACCCTTCACCCTTCACCTCCGCACCTCTGCCTTCTGCAGCAATTCGGCGCGATTCAGCTCGCCGATGCGCTCCAAGATGCGTTGCACCTGGGGGTAACTGAGGAAGATCTTTCCAGTTGGAAAATGATTGGACTATGTGATGACATATTATGTGTGAGACTGTGAGATATATGTTGGAAGCTATCTTGGTAAAATGTCATGTGTATGTGTATATATATATATGTGTGTGTGTGTCTTATAGGTATAGTTATATATATATACATACACATATATATATATACATTCTAAATACATACACGAGATTGGAATGTATTTGAGGGTAATGGGATTGTTAGAGTTTATTGGGTGACATTGATTAATAATGTCTAAATTCAAGATAAAATAGTGTGAGACACCGGATAATACTATTACGACATGTTCAGTTTGGACTTGTACTACAGTAGCAGGCCGTGAAATAAGAGCGGCTTTCCTGAAGATCAGCCATATGCATGGGGCTTGGTCAGCCATGAAGTCTGTCATGCTGATGTCTTGGACTGGATGATGCTGGCAATCTTCATGTATATCGGGGGACTACTGTGGATGGAAGATATCCTGCACCACCTTAAACATCTTAAACGGATGGTTGAAACCCTATGTTCATAATGGGATATAGTAAACCATCTATCAACTGGTGCAGGATTTCTGAACCATCCACAGAAATGTGTGGGGATATTTCATGGCTACCACCATGATGCAGCATCCTATTTGTTGCCATCAACTGGTGATCAACGGTCAGCTGTGGATTCACTGGAAGATTGAACCATTCCTGGCTAAAGATTGAACCATTAGGTCCATTAACCGTTAATGAAAACCTAGACTGAGTCGCAGGTTTCTGGTATACCAATGTTATATCATATCTAATAGTATAATCATGGTTCATTCTGTATACATGTGTATACATATATATATATATACACACATACATACATATATATATATACATATATACATATATATATATATACATATATACATACATATGTATATATATATACATATATATATATATACATACATATATATATACATATACACATACATATACATATATATATATACATACACATACATATACATATATATATGTATACATATGGGTAATAAATACTGCAAGGAGGTCGTGTGTTATGTAGTTTGCTTCTCAGCTGGTGTGTCCAACCTGCACTAAAAATCCCCCCCGGTTTCACCAGCAGGATCTGTTGGGTGCCCAAGTGCCCAACCAACAGCAGCAAGTCCTAGCTGGGCCCATGGCTGAACGGGTGTTGAACATGGAGAATGTGGATACCTCATGTTGAAAAAATGCTTACCATCCCGAAAAAATTGCCATAAATAGGTGGTAAAACTATGTAAAACTCACAAATGGGTGATTCATTCATATTTATATATATATTTATCATTACTTATTATTGGGTTTACCACATCAGCCAGGCTGATCGTTTCTGTGCTCAAACCACAAAAGTCCTCAACTGACATAGTCCCACTGCCATTGGAATCTGTCTCCTGCGGATCGCAAATCAAACTATCACTGAGCAATGCCCATGTGCCCATTGCGGCAATTGCTTGACACAACCTGCTGGAAAGATTGCGATTGAGCTGCGAAACAGTACCCGGAATAAATTCAGAACTCAGAAACTCACTTTTGGGAGGCCTGCGCAGCTGCCCACAACAAAATCTGTCGATCACCAGTCCCTTGGGAACTATTTCTCACGCCCATTTCGGGCCATCACAATTTTACTTGCCAAATGACAGGAGTCATTTGGCAAGAAGAATCCTGATACCTGTTGGCTAAAGAAGTTGGAGAACATCAAACAAGCTGGCCATTTCTCGATGTGGCAAAAACATCCCCTTAGCTCCGGTCAACCGCTGGATAGTCATCGCTCCGGTCAAACGTGGCTTGCTGGACAATCCCCCCATTTACTTTGATGATTTTCCTATTAACATTAAAACCCCATTTAGTTCGGAGAGTTTCCCGCCACGTGTCATTACCAGGGGGTAGTATATCCCATTCACTCATTCCTATCTCATTATTTTTTTTCAAACCATACAACATCATAGTACATCATATAAAACCGCATAAACCCATATAAAACCGTATAAAACCATACATTCAATCTCTTCATTTTTTGGGGGAAGTCCCCTTCCAGAAAATTTGCTTCCGAAAAAAATCCTCAATGAGCTGAGCCATCGCTTCCTGGTGCCACTCCATCGATTTCTGGTGGGTTCTTAATATGGCAGTGTGTCAAAACCCTGGTACCCCTGTAGTTCACATCAAAATAGCTGGGTTAAAATATGGATGTGAATAACACCCTAAAAATTGTATTTTTATAGCTATTGATCCATAGCCAAATGACCGGTATAATGATGTTTCCCCTCAAATGCCAAGTATAATGATGATGACGATTGACTGTCGTGATACAGAAACTAATAGATAAGTACAATGATAACCAATCATCGACCAACCAACTTTTGCCAACGCACAAGAATGCTGATGTTTCTTTACCGGTATGATCACCATGAATTGATATGATCGTTGTCATCAACCCATCCATATCATGCATGTTCTTTACCAATCTTTTGGAAGCTTCCCAACGGAGCAACGATTCCTTGAAGCCTGCAAATTCCAACAAAAATCATGATCTCAAAATCAGATCCAATAATTAATCCAGTTATCACAATCCTATCAGGAGTTACTATCCGAAACCATTTTTTTTTGAACTGCTACGCTACGATCCAGGCCGAAACCATACCGAAACCAGGCAGATCTCCCAGGCACCGTCCAACCTGCTCCGATAATGACCTGGGCTGAATCCTCAGATCCATCAGAATCTGGCAGATCTCCTGGATTTGTTGGGTGGCGGCGAAAAGATTTTGAGATGCCTTGAAAAGACACCACGAGAAAAAACTGCCACGTTGCCGCAACGACATCACATTATATATATATATATATATGTATGTATGTATGTATGTATGTATGTATATGTGTAAATTTATGATGATAAATAATACATGTAAATCAAAGCATATACAATATACATGTAAGTAAATGTAAATAAATGAAAAAACAAATGCAAATCAACGTAAACATGTTTAATGTAAATAACTATAATAGATGCAAAAGCATGTAAGTAGATGTAAATAAGTGCAAATAATCATAATAAGTATAGACATGTATAGACTAAGTTAGAGAGATGGAAATGGAGTGATGTTCGCAGTCCTTGATGGTGAGTTGACCAGACTGGTCGCGGTCATATTGGTTGAAATAAGATTGGACCTCACAACGGTCTTGAGAAGTGCCTCGTTGAAATGGGTGTGGGAACCACATGGTTTTCTGGGCAAAATCTATTGCTCAAATGGCGCAGTACTGTACACCATCTGGTGTTCTTGCTACCCAAGTTGGACACATGGCCAAATCTGATTCATACATATTCATACACACTTCACCAACAAGCTTTGCTTGATGGGTTTCTCACGCACCAACACCATATTTTATGTTTACCCTCTGGTAATTTAACATAGCTATGGAAAATCACCATTTTCAATAGGTAAATCAACTATTTCTATGGTCATTTGAAAACTAAGATAGCTATGGAAAATCACCATTTTCAATAGGTAAATCAACTATTTCTATGGTCATTTGAAAACTAAGATAGCTATGGAAAATCACCATTTTCAATAGGTAAATCAACTATTTCTATGGTCATTTGAAAACTAAGATAGCTATGGAAAATCACCATTTTCAATAGGTAAATCAACTATTTCTATGGTCATTTGAAAACTAAGATAGCTATGGAAAATCACCATTTTCAATAGGTAAATCAACTATTTCTATGGTCATTTGAAAACTAAGATAGCTATGGAAAATCACCATTTTCAATAGGTAAATCAACTATTTCTATGGTCATTTGAAAACTAAGATAGCTATGGAAAATCACCATTTTCAATAGGTAAATCAACTATTTCTATGGTCATTTGAAAACTAAGATAGCTATGGAAAATCACCATTTTCAATAGGTAAATCAACTATTTCTATGGTCATTGTTCAATAGCTATGTAACAGTCATTACCAGAGGCTACCGCTTCCCTATCTTTGCAGCTTCACTGCCTTGCCTCCTCCCTGCGCTCTGAGCATGTGGCAATCTCCACTTTCTCCTCCATGCCGATGAGTCGTAAATCTTGGACGACACACAGGAACCTGGCGAAAAACCAGACGATGGAGTGCCGCGATGCACCAATAGATCCAACATAGATCTAGTCAAGCCTCCAATCTGGGGGGTAAAAATCAGTTACCCTCTGGTAAACATACAAAATGCTATTGAACATGGCCATGGAAATAGTGGATGTTCCCATGAAAAATGGTGATTTTCCATAGTTATGTTAAATTACCAGAGGGTATAGCCAAATCTGCATCCATTTGCCATTTGCTGCTTGGTCAATTGCACAACCATTCAGGTAGTCAAAGGATGGCTATTGAAGCTATTGGAAAGAGTCATCCCCAAATGGTAGCTATTATGCCATTGGCTTTCCCACCTGCTGGGAAAACATCGTTAAAACAATGGACACTTCAGGAACCTAAAATGGAGGTACTGTACACCATATAGAGTCTAATATCACCTTACATAGCCCTTACATAAACCTCACATATGGTAGGTACATGTAGCGTCAATTGACGTTCCTAAAATGGCCCTTGATTTCAATCTTGGTTGAATTTGTTTAAGGGAAAATCTACAGGAAACCATGGCTTTTTCAATTAAATATAGGGGTTTCCTGTAATTTTTCCCTTAAACCAATCCAATGAAATCTTGAAATTTATCAACATCCAAGGGCAGGCGACACCGACTCGCACCTGTCAAAGGATAAAAGATGTTCTTCGGATTCGCCCAAGTAACGACTCACCAAGGCCTCCCGCGGGTGCTTGAGATCTGCGGCAAGGCACCTTTGATATTTGGTGCAATGGCACAAACACCTTGAACTTGAGACAGCTGTCCATCAAATAAATATCAAAGGTGTAGCACAAGTATCACAGTTTACGTGTCAAGAATTACCTGGTACCTCAATCTACGCTAGTTCATGGTCCGTTGCACTTTCAATGGGTAAACCATAGCCTTGGCCCTAGCTTTTTTGGGAATCCTGCGGGAATCGAATTTTGCCATGCACAAATCATGTCGATCCACCCGCAACCCTCCCCCAGACCTGCGCACGGAGTTTCTGCTCCAAAGGCATACCTTCAATCATCAAATTAGTGGAAGCCATGATTGGAACCTAGTGGAACCTAGGGACCTAACCACTCTTAAGTCTTAAGCTTATCAACAAAATATAATCCCCTTCATATATTAACATCTTAAGATGAACTTTGGTTGTCAGGCTTCCACCATGTGAAATTTCTTTGGATCGCCAGCACAGCTCAGCTGTGCAGTCGACTTGAGGGTACCTGAGGTGATGCAACCGAAATGGCTCAGCAAATTCATGGCCTGACGGGCAGCAATGGGCAGCGGCATCAAGGGTAATATGCATGTATACCGTATGTATATATATATATATATACATAACATAACATAACTATATAAAATAACACGACATAACATAACATAACTAACGTATGTCATAACATACGTCATAACATATGTCGTAACATATATGTCATAACATTACATAACATAACATAACATTACATTACATTACATTGCATTGCATTTATACATTTATATTATAGAATATACTCTATGTGCACATATGATATCAGAACATATGATGGAACAAATGAAAAACATGTGTCATGCTCAAAAGTTATTATATATATAGTGTATACATATTTATATATATATATATTATTGGGGGATGGTCATCAAAACACTCTCATAAGGCTTAATATACGAATGATTCTTGGAATTCCTCATAATGGCAGGATGACCCAGGAACCATTCATCCCATGTAACTTGACTAGCTTGACCATGGCACATGCGCACTACGAGTAGAAAAAGTCAGTCTCTCCCACTCCCACTAAACACTCGCAAAACCTTTAGAATGTTTAGGACAAAGTCCTTCAACCTATCACTCCAAGATCTCCAAGAAGGGACACAAATGACGGGAAACGAAAACGACTGGGGAATTGGACGGTCTGAACTTTCTTTTTTAAAAAAAAAGAACATATGGGGTTCCCAACTTCCAATATCTCCAATCTTTCCAGCAACTTCCATGGAAGCCATGGCTATGGGCACCTCATGGGGATCCAGTTTGCCGCTGTCATCACCGTCCAGTTCCTGAAAGGACCTTGGGCAGCTGGTGTTTTCCCCAGCATTCTATGGATGACCCAAGAATGGACAGACCTCTTTCAAATATGTTCTAATGGGGCCATGAAGGAATCATAGACAATCATAGCCATATTACTTGCCGGTCAAACGTGTGTCTTGCCGGTCAAACGTGTGTCTTGGATGCTAGCGGACCTCTCGACAGCCACCACAATAGAAAACATGTGTTGGTACCACTGTACCACAACAAATGGGATTTGAGATGATTTGGAAGTCTTGCCCTCTTGGTTTATAAGTATGTTGAATCAAATTGGTGACCAAAAGTATCCGCCACGATTTGTGTCATCGATAACCACCTGTTGCCACGAGGTTGACCAATAGCTGTCCCATGGCTCATGTTGAATCAACCACCCTCTGGCAATCTGACATAGCTATGGAAAATGGTTTGTAGATGATTTACCTCATTGTTTAAAATGCTGGTTTTCCACAGCAAGAAACTTTAGATTATCAGAGGGTGGCTGGGTAGATCTGGGTAGTGTATTCTCCCAACATTGAGGGCAAAATACCAAACATCAAACCATTAACCTACCAGCTGCCAAGGTTAAGCCAGAAACATCCTCCAAGAGCACCCTTTTCTCTGACTGCTTCGACAGGTGGCTTGTGGAAACGGATCAGCTGGCTACGAAACCTTGGAAAAAGCCAGGATGCGCTGCCAAGCTTTCAACGATCTGCAGAGGTTCAACGGATCCCAAACGTGAGCACATCAAGATCCAAACAGACTTTGCTTACTACCCATATTTGTATGTAGCCATGTGGATTCCGCCCACCAAAAAAAAACATGTAAAAGTTGAATGAAATGCCACAATAATAGTGAAAAAACTCCTCCAAATCAATAGTAAATTGAGTTGCTAGTCCCAAACACAGATTAAGCGTCCAGCAAAACATGAGAATACATTCAAACAGTATGTCGAGTTGATCACGGATCGTTTGTCAACTATGCACTTGTATTGCATGGCATGATCACGGGATGGTATCTCTACAAGAGACGACTATTTCAAGAGATTTCACTCACCTTCAAATGATTGGAAACAACAGCCGCATTTGAGCACACTAATGGCCCTGAACGGAACAACGACCACATTGAGAGTTGCCCGCCTGAAAATGGAATGTCGAACTATTCTGTCACAATCCACACAATCAAAACTACAAAAATAAATTGTAGCAAAATGCTGCAACAGATATGCATATATATATGACATATGTTTGCAACAAGTAGGATTTATATCCATATGCATAAACAGGATAAAAGGTGTGTTACCGTGTAACTATTTCACGGCGAGAAAATGTAGCTGTCCCAAAAATAACACAAAGATGCGATTGGTGCCAAGCTTCTGATTGAAGATAGCATCAGACAGCTGGTATTCCACCTCTCCGGAGGCAAATCTGGAGATCAAAACATCAATGGGTTGCTGTAAGGGAATTCCACAGGAAACATCAAGAAACCATAGTTGTTCTATCCCCTTTGTAGATGTTCAAGCAATTCCAGGAATTCAGGATGACAAACCTTGGAGTCTTTTAGGGACCCATTTTAGGGTCCCAAACATAAATCTCCAGGAGTTCGGATCTTATACTTATACTATTAATACTATAATACTATAATACTATATTAAATACTATGATGTTGACCCCATGTTCTATTGATTTTGGAATATTTTGGAGCTGCAGCCCTTGAATCCTTCACCGATTGTCCAGCCTTCAGTTCCCGCTCCCGACGACGTTTGGACTGCAACATGAACTCCCGCACCGCCGACACCAGAAACTCCACCTGGGCCATGGTTGTTTGAAGGGGAAAACCTGCAATAATCTACGATCTTTGAAGATCAAGCTTCAGGATCCCACAATATCCTACAATTTGGAAGAATCAAGCTTCAAGATACAGAAGTTAAACGATGCGTTTTTAATGAAGTTTGGGATAGTGTGGGGACATTCCAATTTTAAATCCACTGTTTTAAGCATGATTTATGCAGATTTATGCAATGCTGGTTCGTGAATATCTAAAGGGACAGAAGATGAAACCTGGGGATGATGGCCACGGCCTGTCCTGCAAACTCCCGATCCGTAGTGGTTCCCCACGTCACTGTAAGGTCCCAGGGTTTAACACTTTTGATACGAACCACTTGGACATTGCAAGTGTGCCAGACTGTTGGGGTCTCAAATTCTTCTACAATACCAAGTTCAAAATAATGTTCTGGAAACCCATGACCCAACCATTTGGGTGAAGGGTTACATCCCCAAATTTCAAGGTGGCCCATTGGGTGTTTCGCAACATGTTGTAACATATCATTGAACCATCGGTGTATTGAACATAACTTAAGTCAACTTGGATGATTAACTTAACCAACCACCTTGACTAAACTAAGTTAACTTACTGACTACCATTGGATGATAAGTTGAGGTCTCCCATGACACCACAAACCCCCATTGATCATCGATTCCGCAGGCCACCTCTGAGAGCCCAATGAGCCCGGTAATCTGGGCATGTTGGGAGATGGCGAGGTTCAACAAGGCTCATCGAACAAGGCCCAAACAGGCCCAAAACCCACGGGTTTCCCATCAGTTTCCATGGATAGATGGGAGAAATAAACCAACTCCGCTGGACAGGTGGAGAAATCAACCAAGTTTGCATCTAAGTTTTGGGGATTTGATGGGATTGCGCTGCAAAGAAAGAAAACCAAGCCAATTTCAGGAGATTATAAGATATTATAAGATTATCTGATAATTATCAAGTTCCCTTGAATGGTAAATTAGGAGACAATTGGTTTATTCTCAATTTCACCGGCTGGTCAAAGATCTCAAAGGTACCAATGTCCTAGTATGGCTCTACGTATTGGTTCTCAGGGTCTTATCATGTCTTACTCTCCGGTAGTTTAACATAGCTATTGAAAATGACCATTTATAGTGGATTTTCCCATAAAAAATGGTGATTTTCCATAGCTATGTTAAATTACCAGAGGGTATCTTGACCCGACCATGTTGGTTAAAAAAAAAAAACAGGTTTGTTCATTTTGGGTCAACAGTTCAAACCCTGAAACCAGCTGTGGATAACCATCCGTGATCCATCACCATTGACGTGGCGATAAGAAATGGTGGTTCAATCCCAACTTGTGCTGGCTAAATCTCATTTCGTTTGGTTAATACCCCTTTGGCTGTCTCCTAAACGAGACAAAGTGCCCCCAAAACATCAAAGGGTTACCCGGTTACCTGACATCCCTTGACACTCGAGCAACTAGTCCACAAAAATCCCATCCCATTGTGCTGGTTGGTTGATAGGTACCAAATTCCAATCTGGAGTTAATTTTTTGAGACTCTGGTATTTACATGTACCCTCTGGTAAATTAACATAGACCCTGAAATTCACCAATTTTTAGAGGAAACTAATCTTCCAACCCCTATCTGCCAGGGTCTATGTTAATTTACCAGAGGGTATTTACTCCTTTTTCCTGTTTTGATAGATATGCCATCCCGCAATCGGAAACCATTTTTAGTATCACAGTATCAGTATCATCCCAAGATCACACAACGAAATCAACAGGGGCATCCGGGCTGGATCCGTGTTACAGTCTCGCACCATGGCCTGACCAGACGATTTCGACTAGGGGTGAAAATTGACAGATTTCGAGCCGTCCAAAGAGTAATAGTGATGATATGAATAATATAGTGATGAGTATCATGGTAAGCATGGTAATGTTGGATCCTGATTAGTGGGTGGATCCGCTATTGTGTAAAGTTTTTCCAAAATAATTCTGGATTTGTGGAAATGATTGGGGGTGTCGCTATTGTGTAAAGTTTTTTTGGGGAAATCAGTTTTTTTAATGATTTTTTTTTATTTTTTCCATTCGTTTTTCATTATGTTTTCCAGTTTTTCTATTCAATATTTTTTCATTTTTATTGCAATGTTTCATTTGTTTCATGAGCAATATTGATCCTCAATAATATGTTTGTTGTAGGGGTACTCTATTGTGTCCAGCTGTTGTCTGAAGAAACATTTTTTTAAGGTTAGTGATGAACCATCATCAATAATTAATTATATAGGATGCCTTATTAAAACCCAATTGAAAACGGCACTCAAACAATTTTTCAAGGGGGCAGTCCATGAGCAACCCTGATCCTCAATAGTATGTTTGTTGTGGGGGTCCTCTATTGTGTCCAGCTGTTGTCTAAGGTGTTTTTTTTCAAAATCATGTTCTCCTTTCCTTTTCATTTCCCAAAATATATGATGCCTTATTAAAACCCAATAAATAAAAAAAAAAACAGCACGCAAACAATTTTTCAAGGGGGTAGTCCATGAGCAACCCTGATCCTTAATAGTATGTTTGTTGTGGGGGTCCTCTATTGTGTCCAGCTTTTGTCTGAGGTGTTTTTTCAATCATTCCTTTTACCTGTTTCCTTTGCTAAAGTGTTTTTCTTTTACTTAGCTCCATTCTTCTTGGAATCAAAAACAAAAGGTTCTTCCAAAGGATGAACTGCAGCCACCCAAAAAAATCCACGAATGACCATGATCTTCAATAGTATGTTTGTTGTGTGGGTCCTCTATTGTGTCCAGTTTTTTTTGAAATGCGTGTTTTTTACAAAAAAATATCCTTTCCTTTGCTATAGCTGTTGTCTCTTACTTAGTTCAATTCTCCTGGCATCCTCTCCTTGATTTCTATGGTGTTTCTATGAGAGTTTGATCAAATTTCTATCGAAATTCTATGTAATTTCTATGGTGTTTCTATGATATTCTATGGTGTTTCTAAAGATGTGTCTATGGTAGTTCAGTGGGATTCCTATGGGGGTTCAAAAGGATGTCTATGGGATATCCTTTGCATTCCTATGGGCTTTCTGTGGTATTTCTAAGATATTTCTATGGGATTTCTTTGGGATGTCCATGATACTTCTTTTAGATTTCTATGATATTTCTATGAAAGTACTATGCGATTTCAACATGATATCTGTAGAGGAATTCTTTGGGAATTCTATGGGATTTCCATGAAGTTTCTTTGGAATTTCTATGGTGGTTCTATGGTATTTCTATGGGATTTCTATTAGATCCCTGTGGGATTTCCATGGTATTTCTATGATATTTCTATGGGATTACTATGGGAGTTCTATGGGGTGCCGATGGTGTTTCTGTGGGGGTTCAAAAAAAGATATCTATGGGATTTCCATTGGATTCCTATGGGATTTCTATGATATTTCTATGGGATTTCTTTGGGATTTCCGTGGTATTTCTTTTGGATTTCTATGCTATTTCTATGGGATTACTGTGAGATTTCTATTGGATTTCTGTGTGATTTCTATGGGATTTACATGATGGTTCTTTGGAATTTCTCTGGGATTTCATAGGGATGCCTATGGGATTTCCATTGGATTTCTATCAGATTTCTATGTGATATCTATGGTACGTCTATGATTTTTTATGGGATTTCTGTGGGATTTCCATGAAATTTCTATTTGGATTTCTATGATATTTCTATGGTATTACTATTGGATTTCTATGGGATTGCTATGGCATTCCTATGGAACTTCCATGATGTTTCTATGATATTTCCATGAAGGATGTTGTCAAGTTCAAAAACTGAGGAAGTCTCGTAGAATGGTTTCGTTTTCAAGCTTGCAGATAGACAGCTAGATAGCTAGATAAATAGATAGATAGATAGATAGACAGATAGATAGATAGGTAGATAGATAGATTGATCGATAGATAGATAGATAGACAACTACAACTACAACTCCAACTAAAACTACATTACACTACACTACACTACACTAATTGCACCACACTACACTACACTACACTAATTACACTACAGTACACTCCACTACACTACACTCAATTACACTACACACTACACTAACCCCAACAACAACTACAACTACATTACACTAATTACACTACACTACACTACACTACACAACACCACACCACACCGCACCACACCACACTACACTACACGTCACTACACTAACTACAACTACAGCTACAACTACAACTACGCTACTTTACACTACACTAATGACATTACACTACACTAGACTACACTACGTTACACTACACTACACTCCACTTCACTTCACTACGCTACACCACACTACACTACACTACACTACACTACACTACACTACACTACACTACCTTCCACTACACTACACTACAGCTACACTACAGCTACAACTACAGCTCCAACTACGCTACTTTACACTACACTAAATACATTACAATTACACTACGCTACACTACATTACACTACACACACTACACTCCACTTCACTTCACTACACTACGCTCTGTTACACGACACTACACTACAACTACAACTACAGCTACAACTACAACTACAACTTCAATACATTACACTACACAACTACACAACACCACACCGCACCACACCACACTTCACTACACTAACTACAACTACAGCTTCAACTACAACTACTCTATTTTACACTTCACTACACTACACTAGGCTACACTACACTACCCTACATTACATTACACTGCACTCATTACACCACCACAAATGCAACTGCAACTGCGCTACACTAATTACACTACACCACAACTACAACTCCACTACAACTACAACTACAACTACAACTACAGCTGCGCTACACCACACTACATCCAGCAGTTGTGGGTGAGGTGACCGACCAGGTGACCACTGCAACCATTGCAACCACTCCAAAAAACACAACTCCAACCACCTTTCGGTCCATCAGTGAAGTCGCTCTGCCATCCGTGATTCACAACAACCAGTCTCTCCTATAGGTTTCCTATTTTTGAAACTTCCGCCACCGCCTTGTGCGGTACTACTGATAATGAAGATTGCCGTGACAATACTGGTACTGATCATACTCGTCAGTTGGGATCATCCCAAGTCAGTCTGGTTTGGAAGTAAGAATTTTTTGGGGAAGCAGAAACGTGGGCTGGAACACTGATTTGGCCTTGTCCTCCAAAAACACCATCTTACATTACAGCCACATATGATTTTGAAAATGGCAGTTTTACTTCTCTTAGCATTTTTAATAGGGAAAATGATGATAAACCATGATAAAACAAAAATAAAGAATGATAAACCATGGGATCTCCCTATTTTCAGACAAACCCATATTCTTGACGTTTCGTGCGACTTTTTCTGTGGAAACCCAACAGAGAGGTTTTGGTGCTTGTACCACCTGGGTTTGTCTGAAAACAGGACACCCAAATCCGGTGGCTTATATAATATGCTCATCAATAAAATGAAAACCTTGGGGCATACCTCATTTTCAGAAACACACAAATATCAAGTTGGTTTTATATATATATAATGAAAATTATGTGTATATATATATATGTATTGATCTAAAATCCCCATGTTTGATGATCAAATAAATCCTCCATGTCTTGTTGGTTAAATGTGGTTATTCCCCATTTATAGTCCCGTGGGTCGATGCCACCCAGACCAACCATCTCGCAACTGGGCTATAAGACCTTGTGCAAAGTTAATCCCACCGGTATCAATCGATGTGTACATACATATAATAATCAATATACACACACACATATATATATACATACGCATCTAATGTCTATATTTATGCCTATCTATTTTATACATATATATATACAGACCCTTGTAATCCCAAATAACATATACCTCTACAGCCTCTACATGTCATGTGCATACAAAGGTGTATAAATATAAAGATGATTACATATATATACGTATATATATATGTTTTACATGCACCAGCCCCTCCAACCCTTGGTGGGGATGGGGGGTTTGGGGTTAGGAGTTGTATAACATTGGTCGTGAACAGGTAGGGCCTGTGTAGTATTAGCAGTCGTGTAACCGTGGTAGATATATTGACCAAGAGGTCATATAGTAGTAAAAGTGCTACACGGTTGGTAGAACGCTACATATAGGATATATAGGTAGTATATAGCATATAACTCGCATATAGGTAGTATATAGTACGCACATTGGCATGCAACTGGTATTGAGCTAGATTATCGTTAGCAGGTAGCGCGTAAGATGCTACAGGTGACTGCATGTACCTGGTACCTAGGCATCCTAGACAGCAAGGACCACAATTGTAGCAAGGCAAGATTACGCTGTGTAGTACGAGGCTAGCATAGGCAATTGGTTGGCAGGGGCAGGGGCATCGCAGGGGTCGCAGGAGGGGGTGCTGGTGGCTTGGATATATGTTCGCAAATATGTATATATGTATATATAGATCCCTCTCGTTTAAAACGATAGAATAAACATCGGAAATTTAAACAACTCAATCACAGTGGAATACATTTTGATATAGCACCCAAACAACATATCACCATTCTCTATATCTATATATATATATTATATTATATTATATTATATTATATTATATATTATATTATATTATATTATATTAAATCATATTTAATTATATTATATTTTATTTTATTATATATATAGCTGTTGATCAAGCCATTCTTCGCGAATAAAAATGTTACTTTCGCGAAACTTTCGCGAACTCCACGTTTATCTTTCGCGGGGCCCATGTTGGGCAGCAACGCCTCTTATGAAGATCCGTTCACCACCTGTGCCAAATTACGCCAGAGAATCACGGATCACTTCTTGATAGCCTTTTAGACATGCCGCTAGCATCACGGAATCCCTTCTCAGGACAGATTGTTGCTGACCAGGTTTTTTTGGCAAGGTTTGCTGACCCACCCCCTTCAACATGCACTTTGACTTTCGCACGCTCCTTCGCAGAACTTTTGCGAAACCTCGCGAGAATATCCCTATTCACATACCCCGGCCATCAGCAGGGGGCGCATTGAAAGAAAAGTGAACACCAGGGGCCTTGGTGTTTGGCTCTCGCAAAGCCTCACTTTTGGAAACTTGGCTGCTGCATTTGGGGCTTGTTTCTTGAGACTTCAAAAAAGCATCATTAGGCAGTGACAGCGGCAGGCGCAAGGATGTGCTTCAGGACCATAGTGTTTGGCTGTCGCGAAGCCTCACCTTTGGAAGCTCGGCTGCTACCTATGAAGGGCAAGGTGATTGTCCAAAAGCACCATCACACAGGGAACTGAACCAGAACCAAACCGAAATTCTCCGGTGCCCTTCTCCTGCCAGACCCCGGGCGGCAGTGGGTGGCAGCCCTTTACATAGTGATTATAATATCCAACTTTCGCGAAACTTTCGAATAAAAATGTTACTTTTGCGAACTCGTAAAAAAACTCTCGCGAGGGTTCCCAACATAACATGAACGGTCTTCGCAATTAAAACTCTTTACCAGGACCTTTAGACTTTAGACCGATTACCATATATATATCCCAATTATATCCCCATAACAATCACAGTAGCCGTCCCGTTCTCTTCCAGCCTCCACGGTGTGACGTTCTGAGGAATCTTTCTCAAAGGCCAAGTTGAGGTTCTGACACCCAGACGCGTTGGTCACAAAGTTATCATCCAACAACGCCGCAAAACCCTGAGAAAATGTAGGAAATTAAAAGGTATAAAATAGGATATCTATTGGTTTATACCAGATGTCCTAGGAATTTTCTACCAACCATATATAGGATATCTATTGCTTTAAAATGGTGTGTATATATATATATATATAATCATATATATAGTGTCTCATGCCAAGTTCATCTGTCACAGATGTCAAGGGGATTGTGCAAGGAAAAGTCTCTCACATGATCAAGATTTATCAAGTATTCTCAAGTATTAATACCCTCTGACATAGCTGTTGTAAAATGGCTCGTTTGTAGATGATTCACCTATCAGCCATGCTGGCCTTCCATAACTATGTTCGATTGACAGATAGTTCAACGATCGATCCAATCATTACATCCTGACATATCCAATCCATAGTTCCTTGGTGGTTCACCTCAGTGTATAAAATCACTCTGGTTATAATATGGTGTTCCTTTTCTTTAGGTCTTGTATGGTCTTGTGCATAGACTCCATTTGTCTAAAAAACCGTTGATATTCTCAGCTTTCAGGATGCTCACTGGTAGTTGGCAGACTCTATAAATGGGGTACGTAGGTTTAGTCCACTTACAACAAGATTTATGACCTACATAGTAGCTAGGATTTAAAAAAAAACAAGTAGCCAATCCTCAATAGCTTAAGCAATAGAACCCCCATGTCATAACCATTTCTCAGCTATGTCCCCCACATCTGACATGGTAAACAACCCCATGAACCCATAAAACCCCAAAACTTCATGGTTAAATGCCATTACACAACTGGGCTATTTTGCCTCCACCGTAGTCGCCACGCGGCCTGCAGCAGCTTCATCACGCGCTCCCCGTCCAAACCACCAAGATCCTGCGCGGAAATATATACAATTATATGTACATATCAATATATGCATATCATTAGATGATTATATATATGTGTGTGTGTTAAACTCTTAGTATATATGTGAACATGATTGCACATACTTCTATCTTAATTAGATATTGTATATATGATATATTAAATATATATATTAATTATACATATCATTTGATTGATTCTGTTTCTGCAAGTGTGTGTGCAAGGTTCACGCAATCTGGCATCATCGCGGGCCTCGCAACAGCTGGGTGACCCGGAGACACGTCATTGAATCGTCATTGCCGCTGCGAGTTTAAAAAAAAACTTTGTGCAACATTCAGACTCATAAGCATATTATCTCATATGATTTCTACGTGTATGTGATATTGTATCTATGAATTTATATAGGAATTTATATAGTATATACGTGTTTATTTATATATCATATCTGATTATCTGATATCATTGTTATGACTTGGGAATACTTGGGAGATTTTAGGACATCCACTTTGACTTCCCAGGTCATGCAGCCCCAATGAATCTCATCCCGTTGCCGCTCCTCCGTGTCAGCATATTTGAAGGATTGGAACACCTCAGTCATTGGCATCGGCAGTCTGGACGGCCCACAAGCTGAACGAATTTCGGAACGAATTTCGGGACCAACATGGACAAACCCATGCCATCCCAATGCCATCCCAATGCCATATCATCCCATGTCGGATCAAACCACCCATGCCACGGCTTAAGCTCGGCCACCGTATGAGTGCGGCTGTTCCGAATCTTGCACCGAGCCTTTCATGGCAAGATGGCTTGGACGAAGTTGGACTGCAGATCTGATGTTGGACTCGTGTAACACTAATGATAATAAACACTAATGAACCAGAAAGTAGAGTATTAAAATGACTATCTATGATGATATGAGTATTTTGATGTATTTTGAATAGATAATATAGTATTATCATCAACATCATCCTCCTCCTCCTCCTCCTCCGCCTCCTCCTCCGCCTCCGCCTCCGCCTCCGCCTCCTCCTCCTCATCATCATCATCATCATTGTAATCAAATAGCAAAACTGCATCAAAACTGCAGCAATAGAATCACAATAATTATAATTATACCCATATTTATAGTGTTGAATTTTTATCATCATTGTCCATTCTTCGACCTCCTCGATGATCGTGCAGAAGGTGTTGAAGCCAAACTCATCGTCCTGGTCAGGTGTTTTTAGGCTCTTGTGGGTTCAACCCCCCCGCAAAAATCATGGGGGATCATATTGTTTAAGCACAAGAGGAGGGGCGGAATAAAATATCATATATCAATATAATATATCAAATATATACGATGATACTACTAGTAATTTGGAAATAAAAGTTTAAATGAAAGCACCACCCAGATTCACTTAGTCCAGGAAGCCGCCCATTTTTTTCCGGTGAGAACCCTCCCTTTGCGCACCTCGTAATCGTCCCTAGGTGCACAGCGCGGTGGTTCCCTTGTGTATCTGGTGAGCCACTCATCCCGAACTGATGGGGGAGACCAGAACCAAACCCGTATGGAAACCCATATCACAACATTGGATTGTTAACTGTTACCCTCTGGTAAATTAACATAGACCCTGGCAGTCATCGGGGTTGGAAGACTAGTTTCCATTAAAAATTGGTGATTTTCAGGGTCTATGTTTATTTACCAGAGGGTAATTGTTGATTCAAGAAATTCAGCAACATCAGTCATCGTCTGGATAGATCAGAAGATGCTTTTTTCCCATCCACTGAACATTCCAAGGGTTGTTTCAAATGTCTTGGACCACAGCCAAGGCCACACCAGCTTGAACGATGCATCCTGTTGTTGGCTTCCCATCGCAGGCATTCCCGGAGTGGCCCATGGTGGATCCCGGTGGGCCAGGCTTCCCATCGCCACCGTTGAGGAGCCCCACAGCACCGAGTTCAGCGCGATCTTCTCGCTTCGGCTCTGGGCCTCCAGGCTGCAGGCCAGCGCCCAGCGGCAAATGCAGGGTGTTTTGGGGCCAAATCCCAGGTCTTGCTGCATGAATCCTCCATTTATGTCCTTTGGTTTTTTGGATTCATTTTATGTTTAGCTATGTTTATATAGCTCTATCCATCTCTATCCCACATTTGAAACGGAATCTCGCGCCATTCAAGTCTCGAAACAACCTGGTGTCAACCCCTCAAAGAAAAACATAGGTCAATTGATCTTTATGATCCCAGAATATCCCAGACAGGATGCTTCTCCACCAAGCAGAAAGCCGAGTCTGAGCCGAGAACGGCTCGCCCTCCCCAGCCTTGAGACCAAAGTCAGCCAAGGCCTCCAAGATGTCGCTGCTGCACCAGGGGTTCCCATGCTTGGCGGGGAAGTAGCGGCAGAAGCTCTCCTGGCAAGGTAGGAACCGGATGGAACCGGTTGGGTGTGGGATACCACCATAGATTATGTGTTTATAGTATTTTATAGTTGTTTATAGACATGATTTCCTCGCAAAGAACTTGTAAATTGTTGGCATACAGTACAACTTTTTATAGATGTCAAATTTCCATAGACAACTGGTATAGCCAAGCAACATTGGCTTAGAACACATCAGCAACCATGATGGGAAGGTGTCCCCTTGAGCAGGGTTACTACACTACCCCAATCTACCCCATATACTTGCTGGCTTCAATGGGTATCTCACTCATCCCGAACAGGAACTAATTTTGCTGTCTTATTAGTGAGATTGGGCAAGAACCTGGAAAAAGTATGAAAAAGTCCCCAGTGGAAATGCAAAACATGTTCAGACCATCTGCAGTTCTCAAGACTTCAGAGCAAGTTCAGAGCAAGTTTGACCAACATAAAGCGTTTCGAATGATACCCTCTGGTAATTAACATAGCTATTGAAAATGACCATTTATAGTGGATTTTCCCATTAAAAATGGTCCCGTGGCACCTGTGCTACGTCCACTTCATAGCGGTTCACCTCCAGCCGGGCCGTGGCATCAACGGAGGGAGCCCAAGCGGCACCGGCCCAGTGTCCCGGCCCCCGAACCGGTGCCCAGGTGTCCCGGCCCGATCCCGGTAGCCCGTCATGACGTCTTCGGATTGGTCCTTCATCCTGGCACCGTTGTTTTTCCGCGGGAAAGATGTTGTCCAAGTGTGGTCCTGTTTCGATTTGTGTGTTTCCTGAAATCCGGGTCATTCAAAATTAGCCCATGTTAGTATTGAAACCCATGGTGACTTGGGGGGATCCATGGGGACCCCTCATTTTAAGAACCCCCCATGTGGTTTTCACGGAGCCCACACATCTCCAAACCTCCTCCGCCCCTTTTCTTCAGCAGGGATCCCATCACCACGCAGCTTGCATCCCAAGCAAACTGCGGCAGACTCGACCAGGATTCCCCATGGGAGCGACCGCTGATTTACACCGAGAATGGAACATAGTGCTTCCATGTGCTTCCAACCCCCCACAAGCAGTGCTTCATGTCAAGCTGCGAGCGCGGGGTATACTTGGGCAATGAATGGAATCCCGGGGCTGGCTATCTAACAATCTAATACAAGTAGAGCCGGTGCTCCAACAAGACCAAGGATAGATTCACCGATTCACCCAAGTCCAAGTCCACTGATCTTTGGGAAGTGGGATCTGCTGGTTCCAAATTGGGGTCAGATTCTGCTGGAAACGCCCAATGAAGGCTGTCCACAGAAGACTTTGCAAAGACTGGAAGCACAGTGCATGAATTCAGTTTGCCAATCTGTACAGGTCGAGGTGAACAAGCCACCAGTTCTTGGCCACATGTCTTCACGTGATTTGTGCCAACAACTCATCAAGACAGCCGCAAGAAATCAAACAATTTGATGGTAGAAACCATGGTGGATTTTGGGCCGAATGCAAGACACGACCCTTTTGGCATCTGAAGCGGATCCCCTTGTCGCCAAGGCCGGCACGCTAACTTGTGCCATTTCATGCCATTTCTACGTGATATCAATGACAGCATCCCCTCCACGGGTAGATGCCCTCTGGATCCTCTGGCTTCAAAAGTTGAATTGAAAGTTTCCCTCCGCCAGTCGACGCACCTTGCAGGATAGGGTCAAGATGGACCAATGGCAAGCACCAACTGTTCTATCTGACTAAAGGTTGAAAAAGCCCCGCTGTGAAAGTTGGTCGTACTATTCAGGGATCCATTATGCTCGCTGTTTTCACGGGTGTTTAACAGTTATGATGCAAACTATCATGGTACAACAGTACCTTCTGCAACCATAGCGCGCATAGCGCGCATAGCGCGAATCAACCTGCTAAAACCGGCAAGCAATGCTGCATCTTAAACCGTTTTTCTGACCTTGGGGCTTCTCATTATTATCCATCATTAATCATCATCAACTTTAGCTAGGATCAACTAACCATTAACCAACCATTAACCAACCACTATTAACCATTAACCTTCTCAAAATTGGTGGACGGTCAGCAGGATCCACCCACATTTTCGGGATCAGCAGGTTTGAAGGTATCCGATCTTAAGATGATTTTAAGTCATGAGTGATATCTCAAGATTTGAGCTATACATCATATATATGTCGTTATATATATATATAGTTATATAGTTATGGATAGTTATATATATAGTCATATATATATAGTTGTTTATAGTTATACATATATATATATATATTCTATTCGTCAGCAGTCAGCAGTCTTTTATCTACGCAACAGGTACATAGTCTATATAAATAGATATAATATAATATAATATAATATAATATAATATAATATAATATAATATAATATAATAATATAATATAATATAATATAATATAATATAATATAATATAATATATATATATATAAATATATATATATAATATTATAATATTATATAATATATATATATATAAATATAATATATATAATATAATATATATATGATGTCTATTGTATATATTATACATGATATTACCGTACTATACCGTACCATTGTATTTGTCACACCTTGATTTGTTCTGCCCACTGTTTTTGCTGGCCTCCTCTTCTGTGATGCACTCCGAGGATCCTCCAGCAGGCGAAGTGGGCGGGGATGCAGCTGGATTTGCATCGGCGAAACTGGAATGATTACCCTCTGGTTATGTCAACATAGCCATTGAAAATGGCCATTTATAGTGGATTTACCCATAAAAAATGGTGATTTTCCATAGCTATGTAAACGTTTACCAGAGGGTAAACTTGGAGTACTGGGGAGGTATTGACTACAATTTGAGCTGTTTTGCACTGTGCGAGCGCGATTGGCTTTGAAAAATTGGGAGATTGTTCTGAATTGGGGTGAATAACATTTGGGAACATTGTGGCTGTAAGACTGGAATCGTAAATTGGGGTTTCGCAACCTGCGAGGTTGCAAATTGATACTTCACTGGCCTTACACACTGGTAGGTTTTGACATGTTTTGACTGGAGTGCGCTCGCAGTCCGATTCAGTCTGTGTTTCCTCCCGGTTGCTCTGCCCACACACTTTCTGTGTTCGTCAGGCATAAACAGTGTAACTGAATAACTGGCAAGTGGAATTCTCACGTCTGATTATCCCAGACCACCATCCTGCGAATCAAATACTCCGGCAGAAATGTGTCAAGCATTTGTATTGAAGCTCTCTCTTGTGCTTGGCAAATGCCTGCAACAAATTATTTCGCACTGCTACCGATGGCATCACCCAGTTCACTCAAAAAGGTGTTTGTCTTTTTGGACAAAGCAAACAAGCAAAATGTTGAGAGACAAAGACACCTTCACCCTCTCTTTAATTTGTCAAACATTGCAATAGAAAATTGTAAAACAACATTAAAACAAAAACTCTGTAGATGATTCTCCCATGAGAAAGGTTTTACGGTTTTTCATTGCCAGGTTAGATTGCCGGAAGATGCCCTTACAACACATGACACTACTACAAAGGCCCTAAGGATCCCTAAGGCCTCCAGTACCCCCATCCCCATATGTCCTGCAGGCCGCAAACGTCGGCGCGGTGGCTGCTTCCTGTGGCGGTTGAAGTTTTTCTCTCAGCCAAAATCCCAGGCTCCGGTAGCCTGTGCAAGCGGGAATTAATGATAAACACGAGCACATCCCCCATCTCAGGTTGGGTTCAACCTCCATGAAAAAATGAAAGTCATTGGGGATCATCATCCCATTTTCACAGACGGAAAATCAAACGTGTGAATGAAACCACCAAACCAGAGAAAATTTGCTGGAAACCCCAAATCCAATAGTCGAAATCTCGAAAAACCATGAAAAACCCATGGTTTCCTGCAATTTTTCCGTAAACCAATCCATTGATGCCACGTAGTCATCATCCCTTTGTCGCTGCCACATCCCTACCCTGGTCATCCAAGCTACAACATAGGCGCCAGCTGTGCCAAGCTGCCCTCTGATGGTTTCGACGGGCCCTGCCACCAATGCAGTGCTGCTTGCTGATGGATGTTTTCAGGTACTGGGTTGATGTACTTCAGGTTGTTGTCGTTGCTCCTCTTATGACTACTAATGTGGGTAAAACAATAATAAACCATCCCACAAATCACCATTTTTATAGGTGGTATAGTTATGTATAGTTACCATTCCTAAATGGGTGGTTTATGACACTGTTTCACCCAGATTACAATTATTCTTCAATGTGGTTACCCTCTGGTAAACTAACATAGCTATGGAAAATCACCATTTTTAATGGGAAAATCCACTATAAATGGCCATTTTCAATAGCTATGTTGACATAACCAGAGGGTATGTGTCATTTTTTTGCCCCTTGTCTTCCTCCATCTCCTGGAGACAAACCGCCTTGACTTTGGCTGCTGGCCAAGTTTCAATAAACCGCCCCCTAAGAGTAGACCAGTATAGACCAGTATCATCACTAGTTCGGTCTCGTGGCACAGCAACATGAGATAACATGAGTAGAATATTAGATAACAACCATGTACCTAATATATCCTAATTTTTCGAAAAATAAGAGGGGCACCAATCGTTTTTTCAGAACTGGAATGAAACATGAATTTTCTAACCACCAAGCAAACAGAAAGCATGCTCTATCACCTATTTTTTGTCCCATGGTTCTTGGTGGTGCATCCCTATCTTGATGCTTTATCTACTGCAACCGCTTTTGCTCAGCAAACACCACCAAAAAGGTCAGGATTGTGTGAACCAGAAATGACATGAAATCACCAGCGCCAATCCCTTCCCCCTAATATTTTTTACCTCATACAATGGGGGTGTTTAATATCAGAATGGGATTATAATGGAGATATTCATCTGATGTTCATGATTATGTTGGGATTAATATTAGCCCAGCTTTGCAACCAGCGAAAGGTTCCAGCCAAGTTCCAGGACTGTTCCGCTTTTTCGGGCTGTGCATGAGCCATCCCAATGATGGTGAATCCCCATCTCCATTGTAATCCCTTTTGTTGATGGTTCTCCCAATCTTCACAATGGGGGTGTTGAATATTATAATGGGATTAAAATGGAGATATTCATATGATTTTCATGATGATGGTGGGATTATAATGGTTCTCCCAATCAGATTATAATCATTGCTGTAATTCTAATCTATTTTAGTCATTGATAATCATTAATAATTATAATGACTAAAATAGTTATTGTTATAATGACGATGGGAATGATTATTAACTACAACATCATATTACAACTATAATACCCTCTGGTTATTTAACATAGCCATGGAAAATGGCCCATTTATAGATGATTTTCCCAGCTAGAAACCTCCAGTTATTAGGGATGTTCCATGGCTATGTTAAATAACCAGATGTTGTTGTTGGGAACGTGTCCGTCCTGGAGACACCGGTGATGCCATGTCGTCCTCCCCCGGCCTTCGCAGCCTTCGCCTTGCTCGGGATGCTGCTCGGAGCTGCGGAAACCACAGCGCGCGCCGCGGGTGCCGAAGCTGTCCTAATGCTTCGCCCCGAGACTGGG